AGGTTTTGAATAATTTGGTATCTCCGCACATAGTTTTTATAAGCAGTATTTTAAGGCCTTAATTTGCATTTTTAAACTTTGGAAAAAGTGTATACACGGTAGAAAAATTATTTCGAATCTTAAATCGCCAAATATTCTAGAATAAATACAACGAAAAGCAAGAGGAATACCTATTCCTTCGGTAAAAAGTACCAACCGAAAAAATTGTTAAGTAGTTTAGCTGTAGGATGCGCTTATTTTTGTACTAAATTCCTTGACCTCGTCGGTCATTTTCCCCCTGCATTTGGGCGAAATCTGTTTTCGTAAATTTCGTGCGAAAAAATTTTTCTTTTCAAAACTAACAACACCTCGATTTATTTTACACTAAGGGCTATCTAAAAACCAAATATGAGCGAAATCGATTTTTTGACTTGTGCCATGAAAATTCGATTTTGGTCGATCCTTACAGACAGTCGCTCTTAATTATTTCAGTAATCAATTTATTAAGGTTTTGAATCAGCATTGCGTCCATGTTTCAATGGTAACTTTAAATTGGAAACTATTGCAAAAAAATGACAGTAAAAATCAGCGCTCCTGGGAACCAATCAGATAGAACGCATATATATTAGTAGTTTCAGTATTCTCTATGATTTCATAAGCTGAGAATGGCTAATGGTCGTTGTATAATTCGCTTAGTTTTAATTAGTTGTGCAATTTCTTCTTATGAAATTATTTTTGTCTTTATTTCTAAGACATCCAACCGAACAACCACAAGAGGCAAAAGTTCCCCCATCAATCGAACAATTATTCATCATTGCGGGATTCAGATGTAGAACAGATAATATGTTTTCATACTGTGCACCGTGTTTGTTTGGTACTTATATTATCTTTAATATTTCCACCAATAATCACTCTTGCGTTGGTTGTCCTGCAGGTAAATGAATTACTTATTACTGAAAAATAAATTATTTCTATTTATCATACAGACACTAGTGTTTTACTGGGAAATACGCCACTCGTATTTTTCATACCAACTACATCCGGGACCTCAGTGACATATTTCCCATATAATCACATGTGAAGATATCGATGACGTCACATGTTCTCTCCTTTACTTGAACGTGCGTTGCAACAAGTTTTAGTTTGTGGATGTGTCTATATAATACAAAGAAAAATGACACAATGGCTTGAAGATAAGAATTTTAACTTCGGACGTTAAAAAAAATTTTTCACCAATCGAAGATAAATGACTTCATATCTTCGCGCCACCGTGTACAATATCCTCGTAGTTTTACATGCTAATGAGCTTTGCAGATATTCTAATGAACTGTGCGGAGAGAACCTAAAGAAATCTTGTGAAATCTGCTTTAATTTAAAACTCGTAATTACAATTTACAAACAAACATAGTTTTTACAACAACTCACGTAAATAACACATTCTGATTGGCTGAGAGCTATGATCA